TCCCGCGGTCCCCACCCGCGCTCACCTCCACCTTGCCGCGGGCCAGGTCCCGCAGCACGGTTTCGCGGAGCCGGGGATGCTCCGAGCCGCCGCCCGCCGCCAGCGCCGCCGTCAGCAGCAGCCACGGCCACGGCCCCGACGGCACGGCCCGCATCGCTGCCGCCGCTGCCACGTCCGGCGCGGCACGGGCACGCGCACGACGCCGCGCATGCGCGAAGACTCGCGCGCAAGACACGTGCGCGCGCTGACGGAAACATAGACCGCGCGCAGATCCGTGCGTGCCGTGGGACTGGCACGTAGAGCCGCGAGCGCTCACCGCGCACAGACCGACAGCAACAGACAGCAACACACACAGAGCAACACACAGCAAGAGACACAGCAACACACACACAGCAACACACACAGAGCAACACACAGCAACAGACACAGCAACAGACACACAGCAACAGACACACAGCAACACACAGCAACAAACAGCAACACACAGCAACACATACAGCAACAGACACACAGCAACACACAGAGCAACAGACACGGCAACAAGACACACAGCAACACACACAGAGCAAAACAGACACAGCAACAGACACAGAGGAACACACAGCAACACACACAGCAACACACAGCAACACACAGCAACACACAGCAACACACAGCAACACACAGCAACACACAGCAACACACAGCAACACACAGCAACACACAGCAACACACAGCAACACACACAGAGCAACACACAGCAACAGACACAGCAACACACACAACGCAACAGACACAGAGCAACACATAGCAACACACACACACACACAGCAACACACAGCAACAGACACAGAGCAACACACACAGCAACACACAGCAATACACACAGAGCAACACACACAGCAACACACACAGAGCAACACTCAGCAACAGACACAGCAACACACAGCAACACACACAGAGCAACACACAGCAACACACAGAGCAACACAGGGCAACACACAGAGTAACATACAGCAACACAGAGCAACGCACAGCAATACACACACAGCAACACATACAGCAAGACACACAAATTAACACACAGCAGCACACAGCAACACACACAAAGCAACACAGCAAGAGACACACAGCAAGACACACACACCAATACACAAAAGAACACACACAGAGCAACACATACACAGCAACACACACACTGCAACACACAGCAACACACAGCAACCGTGCAAAGACAGCCAGCATCACATAACAACACACAGAGCAACACACATACAGCAACATGCACAGCAACACACACACACCCCCAACACACACCCAGCAACACACAACAACACACACAGAGCCACACACATGCAGCAACACACATAGCAACACATACATACCAACACACTCAAAACACATGGAACACACACACACACTAACACACAAACAGCTGGATACGCAGCAACACACTGCAACAGACAGCAACACACAATACCAACACACACAGAAAACACAGCAATGCACACACAGCAACACACAGAAACACACACAGCAATACACATCAAAACACAGCAACCATGCACACATGGACAGCAACACATAGCAACACACACACAGTAACACAGAGGAACACATAACAATCGGGCAAAGACGGACAGCATCACACAGCAACACACATACAGCAACATGCACACCAACACACACACCAACACACACCCAGCAACACACCCAGCAACACACACAGCAACACACACACAGCAATACACACAGCAACACACACCCTGCAACACACATAGATTAACACAGCACCACATGGCAACCAACAGCAACACACACAGAGCAACACACACAGAGCAACACACAAACAGCAACACACACAGCAACACACATAGCAACACACACAGAGCAATGCACACACAGCAACATACAGCAACACACACAGAAACACACAAACTGCAACACACAGCAATATACTCAGCTACACACAGCAACACACAGCAACACACAGCAATGCACACCCCACAACATACACAGATTAACACACAGCACCACATGGCAACACACAGCAACATGCAAACAACAGCACACACAGCAACAGACACAGGGCAAGACATCGAGCAACACACAGCAACCGAGCACAGACTGACAGCAACACACAGCAACACACACAGCAACTCACAGCAACACATACACAGCAACATACACACAGCAACACACACCAAAACACAGTAACCATGCACACACCGACAGCAACACACACAGGAATACACACACAGCAACACACATAGCAACACACGCACAGCAACAGAGAGCAACACACAGTAACTGTGCAAAGACTGACAGCATCACACAGCAACACACACATACAGCAACATGCACAGCAACACACATACACACCAACACAGACCCAGCAAAACACACAGCAACACAACAGCAGTACACACAGCCATCCACAGAATCACACACACAGCAACACACACCAACCATGCATAGACTGACAACACAGTGACCAACAGCACCACCAACACCACAACACACTGCAGCCGTGCACAGGTCCACACCACACAGACCAACAGCACTACCAACAGCACCACACACAGGAACACACTGACCAACTGTCACGGTTTTATATTGGAAGCAGTCAAGGAAGTGACTTTCTAAAAGAGGTTGCTAGCAGTTTCCCCTGTGTCTGACAAAAAGATCGATCAGTAATTAGTTTTGAGAATTGAAAATTGGTTAAACTACTAAGGAAACTGCAGTATTGCATTTTATTTAAATGGTATGCTCTGTCTCACCCCTCCAAAATGTAACTGCTTTCACCCCCAGCCCAGCTCTGGCTGCAAGCTACAGAGCCTGGCCATGGTCAGATAACCATCTGCAGGCCCTGGGTGAGATATTAACTCTTTCAGTGCTTCAATCCTCCCTTGAGTGAGAGAAAAGGACAAAGTGCAAACACATAGCAGAACAGCATGAAGACACTGTGAATGAAGACAGTGAAGAAGAAGTCAAGTCCCAGATGGGAGGGATGAAGAGATGCCTTTAGTTTTAGGCTGAAAATCTCTTATAAAGATATGGAGAAGAATATAATTGATATATCAGGCTCTTTTTCTTTGTAATGCATTGAAAAGTATGGGGAGATGAATCGTTCAAATGGTAGATATCTAGCAAAGGCCTCTGTGCTAAAGTAAGCAGATGTTAAAGTAGCTGTGATCCCATAAGAAGTTTATATATAGAGAAAAGAGTGATGAAGACCCTGTGCCCCCAGGGAGAAAAGAAGACCTCTATTCCCAGAAATGATGATTTTAAAGATAGATAAAGAGAACCTTTGCTCTTAAACAGTTCATCTTTAAAACAGTACCCCATAAATTGACATGGTCCATAAATACAGCTGTGAAAAATGGGAAGGACTTCAAAATTGCAGATTTTCCTGGTGGCTACTATTCATAGAAATTCAAAGCTAGGAGAGAACTGTTTTCTTATAGAGCAGTCTTCATAAATTAACAAGAGAGACTTTTCTCCCTAAGTGAACTGAAGAAAGGCTATTCTAAAAGTAATAAACCGACCGCATTGTTTCTGTACATTGTTGGAGAGAAAGAAAAGGTTATGGGGGGAAAAGTGTTCTAAAAATTTTATTATAATTCTTATTATTCTTTCTTTTAGTTACTATTAATAAACTTTTCTTTATGCCCTTTTCAAGTTTAAGCCTACTTTGCCTTCCTCCTAAACCTATGTCACAGCAGGAAATGAATAAGTATATTCTAATAAGTGCCCTGGCATTTAGCCAGCACTGAAACCCACCACACCAACTGTGCACAGATCAGCAGCACACAGACCAACAGCACCAACACACAGAGCAACACACACAAACAACAACTACACATACACACAGAACACCATTGCACTGACCGACACAGAAACAACACATACTGACGACAGCAACACACACCCCAGCACCACACACCAACACATACATACCAACAGTGCATACCAACACACACACACACCCCCCCACACACCCAGACCCTCACTGCCCATGAGCTCACCATCTCCTCAGGGCCAAGCAGGTGAATCACATCCTGAGCTGCATTGGGGGGTGTTGTGAGCAGGCCACAGGAGGTCACGGGGGCTCCTTTGAGGCCACCCCTGGAGTGCTGTGTCCACTGCAGAGCAGTGACCTCGACTCTCCTCAGTCCTTTCCGAGTTGCCACCATTGATCACAAATTATTTCAAGTGTCCCTCCACAACAGCAGGGACTTCCCACAGTTCCTTTGGCTCCTGACTGAGTCCCATGAGTATAAGATCTCAGGGATCTTATACTCTCTGACCAGTATCCTCCTCTGCCTTGCTCCTTAACTCACCAGGGTCCTCCGCCTCCTCAAGTTCCAGCCTTCCCCAGACACTGTAGCAGGCACATGATGAGGATGGACCTGTCACCCAGACTCCTGTGTGTGTGTGCACCCCGAGTACAAGTGTTCAGGTCTGCCCGTACAGTGCTTTATGGGCACTGCCACACACAGGTACAGCAGCGCCTACACACAAAGCCACATACAGCTGCACACAGACACACACACACATCCCCAGCTACACACACAGCTGCACAGAGCTGCACACATACAGCTGCAACACAGACCAGTACACACACAGAGATGCACATGCAGCACACACAGCCCATACGCAAATACACACAGAGCTGGGCACAAGCACACAAACACACTCACACACAGCTGCACGAGGGTGTGTGTGCTCATCAGCACTGCAAACACTCTGCAGCTGACCACAGACATATCTGGCACAAGCTGACACAACAGCTGCAGTGGTGAACAGTCACATACAGAGTAAAGCACCAGGGCAGGCATTCATTTACAGGGACAGATGTGCACTTGCAAGGACAGATGTGCAAGGACGGGTGTTCATGTGCAAGAACAGGTGTGTACAAGCAAGGACAGGTGCACACGCACATGCGCACACGCAAGGAAAGGCTTTCGGGAGGCGGGCGGCGGGAGGCACGGGCCGTCACGTGAGCGGGGCGGGGCGGCAGGTGAGCGAGGGCCGCTCCTGCGCCTTTAAGGCGCCGCGCAGGTGGCGGGCGTTGACGTCACTGTGTGGTACGTCACGGGGCGGGGCCGCAAGGTGCGCGGGGCCGGATCGGGGCCGGGGGCGCGGCCGGGGCCGCTCCGGTCTCCTCCCGCCGATGGACCTGGCCCGGCGCGGCAGCGCCGACCGGGGCTCGGCGTCCGGCGCAGGGTCTCGACCCGGCCCCCCGCGCGGCCCCGGCAGCGCTGGGGTTTCGGGGGCGCCTTTCCTCGGTGGCGGCGTCCCGGGCGGCCGTAGGAGCTCCCGACTGGACGGGCACGGCTGCTCGCGGCGCGCAGGAACCGAGGAGCGGCCCCAGGCCCAGACCCCGCCCGAGGGTCTCCCGCTGCCGGCCTTGCTGTCCCCCGGCCCGGGTAGTCCCCCGTCCCCGGCAGCGCCCGGCCGGGTTACATTACCCGCGCCGGCCCCGCCGGAGCGGCGGGAGATGCTGCCCAAAGCGGAGTCCAGCGACCACATCGCGGCCTGGGCGGGCCCCGCGGTGCCCCGCGCCCCCACGCTGCCCAAGGCCGTGTCCAGCGAGTTCCTCGCCGGCGGATGGGCGGGCCTGACCCCCCGAGCGGAGCCGGGCGAGCTGCCCGTCCTCGCCCGGACCCTCGGTCGTCTCGGCCCCAGCGACGTCTGCGATGTGCTGCCGGACTGCCCGGGACGAGCCCCGGAGGACGGCGCGTTCCGGTGAGTGGGGCCGCGGGGCGCTCGCGGGGACGGGGTTCGCAGTGCCGTGGGAGCAGCAGCCGCTGTGCCCCTTCTTCCCGCTGTGGCGGATTCAGCAGGATTGGGGTGCGGGGCTGCAGGCAAGTTCCCGGCGGGGAGGATGTCTGGTGCCCACTGTTCGTGCGGGATATCGTGATAGAGACACCGACTGCGGAGTGAGTGCTACCTGCCCCGGCTGTCCCCGAGCACTGAGGCTAGCGTGGCGCAGCTCGTCTTCCCTACTGAATCGCCTTCCCTCTGACTGAGGCTCCTGTCACTACCAAAAGAGCCTGCGGGCCCTTTGCTGCTGCCCGTTGCGCAATGGCATTAATGTGTGCTGATGGATGTGGCTTTGCACTGGTGAAGGACACCGCTGCGGGGTTGCAGCACCGCTGTCACATGCGCTGCTCTGGCCTTTGTGGCTGGCAGGGGCTGGGAACTGAGATCCGGGTCTTTTTCCCCAGGAGCCTGAGCCTTCCTGGAGATGGGGAGGAAGTGGTTTTCCAGAGACATCCTGTTTCACAGCCTGCCCGTGTCAGCCGTGTCAGAGGGCTCTTTGTGTTCGTTTCTAGAATTTCAGGTGCAGATCCCAGGAGATCTTGGAGGCAAGGATCTGTATGTCTCATGTGGGAGTTAAGGACCTGGTGTATATGCCATGACTAAGCTTCAGCCTTGGCTACTTCTGTTGCCAGCAGAAAGCTTCCTTGGTGGATCTGGGGGCTGAACAGGGTTACAAGGAACCCCTCCAAGCCTTTGTGTTAGCTGTTCTTCCTTTGTCCTTTCAAGCATCACAGTGGTCACCTGGAACGTAGGTACAGCCGTGCCCCCAAATGATGTGACGTCCCTGCTGCACCTCAACACGGGCGAGACAAATGATGTGGACATGATCGCCATTGGGTAAGAAGATGAGGTGCAGCTCCTCCTTTTCCTTCCCCTCCCCCCTCTGGCAATCCTCTTTTTGAGGAATCCCCAAAGCCGTGGGGGACAAGGAATGGAAGAGCTGCAGCCCCAGCCTCCCTTGGGGCATGGGGAGTAGGGAGGGGTGTGTGTCACAAATGATAGCATGTCAGAAAAGGTGATGGAGAATCAGCTCCTGGTAGAATGGGAGTGCTGAGAGGAACTGTAACCCTTGAGTACTGATTAGACTTGAATACTCATTGAGCCTGAGGTTGGCTATGCTGGACCAAGTTAGCCCTGCTCTTGCCGTGAGCTGTGGCAGTCCTTGGGTCAGGTCTGTCAAAGCATTTGACTCACCTGGCCAAGTCCTCTGGGAGCATTCTCCTCCTATGTGCTTTTGTATGTGGTACATAGGCATCAAGGGCATAGATCTCTTGTTCTCCCGAGGCTGGATTGGCTCCATCCCCCTGTTACACAGACCTGCTGACAGGGCAGTACCACAGCACTGTGGTGAGGCTGGTGAGGTGAGGGTGGCTGTCCCTTGAGGATTGCAGTGGTATGAATTCCTGCTAAAGCTAGGGATGTGCTGTCTTTGCACAGGGAGCAGGAAGCAGCCTCTGCCTATAGGTATGAGGTAGAAAAGCTATATCTGCCTCCAGGACTGCCCCTGAGCTCCCAGCTGCAGGGGCATAGTGGTGTAAAGGCTGACACTGCTGGAGCTATGTTGGAGCCAGCTCATTGTGTTGGAGCCAGCCTCTCAGTCCCCTCAGCCTTGCAGGCCAGTGGAATGGGTCTGTGTGGGTGTTAGAGGTCAACCTGAGCTGGGTGAATGGGGTGAGGGGTGTAGCTGATAGTAAGAGACCTGCTGGGACCATGTTCTGGCCAGGGCAGGGTGTCCTGCTGCTCCTCACTTCCTGGCATCTCTGCCTGGCTGTGTCCTTCCTCTGACCTGTGTCTTTGTGCTCTAAGCACTCGATATTTTTGGACAAGAAATTTCCTGATTGTGGTGTTCTCTGTGGACGTTTTTCCTTCTCTTCCTTAATTGCCGAGCTGGGAGAAGAACTGTTAGCTTTCTGGTTGCTGCTGCTCTGAGCTACGCAGCTCGAATAGATTTGGATGCCTTGTGCTGTTGGGACATGACTTCTCTGTAGAGACTGAAAGGCCCCGTAAGCCCCTCTTACACACCGAGGTGGGCTTTAGGCTTCTGCTCAACCCTGTGCAGCTTAACTGCTTCTGCTTTAGAAAGGGCCAAAGCCTCCTGCATTCAGGGCCACTTGTGCCTCCTGCTGCCACATGGCCCAGAATCACTGGAGCAAGGACATGGCTGGTTTGTGCTCCAAAATCAATGTCTTCCCTTGAACTGCCCTTCCCACCCTGTCCTGCTGCCCAGCATTGTGCTTCTCTCCCACGTTCTCGCTAACTGGGAATACAGATGGTTTCCTGGTGTGGCTGAAGGACCTGTACATTTCCTGTCAGGCTGCAGGAGGTAAACTCCAAGATAAACAAGCGCTTGAAGGATGCCCTCTTCACAGATCAGTGGAGTGAACTCTTCATGGATGTGCTGAGCCCCTTCCACTTCATCCTGGTAAGGAGTCCTGAAGGGGTTGGCTGCTGGTGTTCTCTCTGCCTGCCAGGCAGGTGGGACACAGGAATAGAAAGCTGGGAGGGAGGTGCAGTGGGAGAGCTGGCTGAAGGGACAGCCTGCAGCCATCCAGGCAGCAGGGACCACTGCTGCATCTCGCCCAGCAAGTTGTTTGGCTTGTGCCACCCAGCTGCCTTTCCTGTGCTTATGCTTCCCCTCTGGTGCTTTGGGGTGACATTGAACCAGGGTGAGGAGGTGAATGTGGGAACTGGCCAGTGCTGCTGGCAACAGCCTGCGAGACTCAGGGCAGACTCAGCTCTCCCAGACAGGTTCAGCTCATGAAGGCATTTGTCTCAGAGCATATGTAAGCCCAGCATCACTGAGGCTCAGGTTTGGCTGTCAGTGCTCAGGAGGGTACGCACAGATCTCTGAACCAAATGTGCTGTTAGTCATCTGTGTGATGGAGGGGCACACAAAGGGTGGAGGTGCTGCCCTGTGGCCTGGAACGGGGGGAGTTGTCCCCAGGCTCTCTACCATCCTACTCCAGCCCTTGCTCCAATTCCAGGTCAGCACAGTGCGGATGCAAGGTGTGATCCTGCTGGTGTTTGCCAAGTACTACCACCTGCCCTTCCTTCAGGACATCCAGACAGACTGCACCAGGACAGGGCTGGGGGGATACTGGGTGAGTGTGGCCCTGGGGGGAGATTGCAAGGGGCTGGCTTCTCAAGGAGTCATGGGATCTTCTTGGTGCAGGGCAACAAGGGTGGGGTGAGTGTTCGTCTCTCCATCTTCGGCCACATGGTCTGCTTCCTGAACTGCCACCTGCCAGCACACCTGGAGAAGGCAGAGCAGCGCAAGGAGGACTTTGCCACCATACTGCACATGCAGCAGTTTGAGGGGCCCGTGGCCAACGGCATCCTGGACCATGAGTGCGTACCCCACCACTTTGCTTCCCAGTCTGGGCTCTAGTGCCAGTCCCAGTCCTTGACCACCTTCATGTGGGGTCTGGGGTCTCCCCTGCATCCCAGCACAGCTTGGAGATCGGGTCTTGCCTGCAGAGCTGGCCCAGCATGGACTACTCAGCATGGTGGGGTAGGTGTTTATAGAGGGGTCTTGGTCTCACCACATTCAGGGCTGGTACAATTCCTGCCTTACTAGCGCTGTTGGGGTTTGGGAGCAGTCAGAGGGCCAGCTCTGTCCCTCTGTCCCTGTGGCTTTGTGATCTCAATCCAATGGGTGCCTCACTGTGGAAATTTCCACCCTTGGTTTCAGCTTGGGGAAGTCTGGCCCATGGCTAATGGTCTTACCTGCAGAATCCTGGCAGCTGGCCAGGCTGCTGGCTGAGCAGTGGCTTGTGCCAGTGTTCCCAAGAGCACCTGTGCTGTGGGCTAAGGCTGCCCCCAGGCTGGGGCCATCTTAGTCCTGCTGTCCCTGCCTCTGATAGCCTCAGCCCTTTCAGCCCATTGCCCTTGCTACCATCCACAGCCTCGTGTTCTGGTTTGGGGACCTGAATTTCCGCATCGAGAGCCTGGACATCTGTTTTGTGAAGTATGCCATTGACAGCAATGTCCTGAGCCAGCTCTGGGAGAAGGATCAGGTGAGGGGTGGGTGTGCTGCCAGCCTACACTGGACCCCTAGCAGTCAATGACTCTCCTCAAAACTGCCCATGCAACTGTGGGACAGGGCATGTCCTCTTGCATCTGGTAGGACACAAAGGGCCCTGGCTCTCTTGTCTCTGGGGGAGGGACAGCAGAATCCCAGGTCAGTCTGGATGGAGCTGGACACACTTCCTTCATGAGTGTGTGAAGATCTGAGGCACTGAGTCTACAGACTAGCTGCTGGCATAGATGGACAAACCCTGAGAGCTGTAGGAGCTGGCAGGAATGGGACTGGGATGTCAGTGTGTGAGGGTGGGGAGATCTTGGCAGGATTTCTGGAGGGGTCTGGCTATGGGGGTTGCTGTGCTCCTTCCCCACAGCTGAACATTGCCAAAAGCACGTGGCCTGTTCTCAGAGGCTTCCAGGAGGGACCCCTGAACTTCCCACCCACTTTCAAGTTTGATGTGGGCACCAACAAGTATGACAGCAGGTAGGAGAGCAGAGCTGGGCATGAGGTGGGGCTGAGAGATGCAGGAGCTGCGGGGCTCATAGCCAGTGCAGGTGCTGGTGTGAATGGGTGGGGAGAGCAGCCATGCTGGGGCGGGCACAGGCTGGACTGTGATGTGATAGCTGTGCTGAGTGCCAAGATGAGCCACATCCTCTGCTCACATGTGCCTTAGTGCCAGGGGGAGGCAGTTTGGGGCAGAGCCCACTGCCCCTGCCAGGCAAGACATGCCCCTCTGTGCCCTGCAGTGCCAAGAAGCGAAAACCTGCCTGGACTGACCGCATCCTGTGGAAGATAAAACCTCCCAGCAAGGGGTTGGGCACAGGCGGGCACCGGCCCAGCCAGGGTGTGCTGTCAGTGAGCCAGCTGTGCTACTGCAGTCACATGGAATACACCATCAGTGACCACAAGCCAGTAGCTGCCATCTTTGCCGTGCAGGTGAGCACTGTCCAGGGCTGCTGGGAACACAGGCAGGAGCTGCAGGGGCAGAATGTCCAGCCTTGTGTGTGGGGAGCTTCGGTTTGGTGAGCTCAGCTGCCTTGCCTCTTACTGGGGGCTGCTGTGGGTGTATGCATGGGGTCCCTATGCAGCAGAGGCAGCTCTTTGCCATGCCCTTTCTCACCACATACCTGTCTCTGACAGTTTGCTTCTAAGGTGGACAAGCCCCTGGTTGAGATTTATGTGGCTGACGAGTGGAGCAGGCCTGAGCAGGCAGTTGTCAGGTACAAGATGGCTGTTGGCTTCCACCGGAGCTCCTGGGACTGGATAGGACTCTACCGGGTAGGGGCTTGGGGGCTGCTGTGGCTGGAGGGAGTGGGGAGCACTGCACAGCACTGCGGGGTCCCTTCTGAGCTACTCCCCACCAGCAAACATGGTGAGGGCATGGAGCTGTGCCCTCCCTTCCCCTGGCATCATGATGTGGTCCTGCTTCAGGAGGCTCTGGTCCAGCAGTTCCTTCTTCCCCCTGCTCTGTGGGCTCCACATGGCCCCAGGGCACACCTGTAGCAGGGTGCAAGGCAGCTTTGGGTCACCCTGTGTGAGCAGAACAGGCTGAGCACCAGGAGACTGAAGAGTGACTGTGCTGAGTGGGGCTCACATTGTCCCACTCACTTGTATTGTCCCATATATTGTGCACAGGTGGGGTTTCGGCACCCTAAAGACTATGTGTCCTATGTCTGGGCCAGGAGTGATGATGGGGAGCGCTGCCTGGAGAAGCAGCTGTGTGCACAGGTGAGCTGGGGCCAGCCCTGCTGTCTTGCTGGCCCTTCTGCCCCATAGAGGGAGGACAATCGTCCCTTTGTGCCCCTGGATGGGGGAGGCAGGCACTTCATTCTTGCTTTTGCTGAGTATGGGGCAGGCTCATGGTATGCGCAGCAGAGATTTGTGCTTTTGGCTGGGGTTGGAGGTGGCAGGGAGGGCACCCCTGTGCCAACCCCAGTGCCCATCAGGTGTCTCTGGGCTGCAGGTGATGTTCTCTGAGGAAGCACTGCCCAAGGGGAACGGCGAATACATCCTTGGATACTACAGCAACATCTCCAGTAGCATCGCTGGTGTGACTGAGCCCTTCCAGGTGAGCACAGCCAAGAGGTATGGGGGGATGGATATGGTGGGGGGCGGGGTTGTCTCTGGATGGGGGAGGCCAGCTGGTGTGGTACCCAACAGTCCCCTGTGAGGGTCAGCTGGCAGTGCTGATGCAGGGGTGCAGATTTCCCTACCCAGGTCAGAGGAGGGCAGCAGCTCTACAGACAGCTCAGGCAGCAGCTCAGAAGAGGATGACAGTACACTTGTCCTCCTGGCTCCCAAATCCCGTAGTCCCAGCCCGGGCAAGATGAAACGTCACCGGAGCCGAAGCCCCAGCCTGGCCAAGTTCCAGGGCCTCATCCTGCGGCCATCAAGCCGGGACAGGGGTACAAGCCGCAGTCCCTCACCCCAGAGCCGTTGCAGCCTCCCCAGGAATATCCCCACCATTCATCTGCCCCATGAGGAGCCGGGGCACCGTGAAGTCAAGAGCAAGGAGCTGGGAGAGGCAGCTGAGAGCCCAGACAGCAGCTCATTCTACCAGACTGTGCAGGAGCAAAGTGGCCTCCGGCGTGTCTCTGCTGACAGCTCCCTTGCCAGGGCTGACCCCCGGAACCTGGGCCTGCTGCCTGCACTGCGCCTGGAGATGATTGACCAGGCCCTGGGCCGGCAGCGGGAGAGTGCAGACCAGGGCTATTATCCTTGCCGAAGAATGAGCCCCACCAGCCCCCCAGGCTGTGGCCCGTCCCCAAAGGAGGGGCACAGCCCCCAGGAGCTGGACAGACATAGCTGTGCCATGGGCCGCTGATGCAGTGGCTCCCTTCCTCCTCCCCGTAGCGCGCTTGCTGTGTGCTTTCCTCTGCCACTTCCCTGCTGAGACACTCCCTCCGTTATTTATTGCAGTGACACCTCACCCCTGTTGTGTGCCTGGCAAGTAGAGGCCCCCCTTGCTATTCCCCCACACAGGGGAGGGTGGGCAAAACTGGTCTCATGTGGTTTGGGGAACCTCTCATGAATTTCCAAGTGCAGGACTCTTGTCCCATGGGAGGAGTGCTGGCCTCACACCTGAGGTGGCTCAAAAGGCCAGGGCAGGGCTCTGGCAGGAATGGTGACAGGCACAGAGCAAGGACTCCCACAGGGTACCCTGGAGATCAAAGCTTGCTCCTTCCCTGCTCTGCCATTGTGCCTCAGCCTGAACATAGTGCAAGTGACAAAATAAATGATCCTGCCCACCCCAGCTGCACTGTGCTCACTGCTGGGGGCAGCATAAGCCCTGGGGTGGGGACCACAGTGTCAAGAGGGGACAGCAGGCTCAACTCTTGTACCATACACCGTGCTCTGACTAGCCACCCTTTATTTTTTCTGCTGCTTTCAGGTACTGACCCCACCCCTCCTACCCTGCCTGGGCAGGATTACACCTCACTGCTCAGGCCCTCCAGCTGAAGGGTCACCAATCCAGGGGTGGGGTGTCCTGCCACCCCCCCTGCCCCAGAGCACACCAGGGAAGGACAATGGATTTTCTCTTTCCTGAGCCCTCCTATTTCTTTCCCCTTGCTTTTGATACTCATGGATGGCAGCCACAGCTCCTTGAGAAGCTTCTCAGTCCCTCTGCCTGCTCTGGCTGTGGTCCCCAGCTCCATGCCATCATGCCAACAGCCATGCTCAGTGCCATCCTCTGACTTGAGGACCAGACCCCAAGCAGCTCCCAGCTGCAGCTGCTGTGCAGCACATCTTTCTCCCCTTCCTCCCCAAGACAACACCACTTGGGTGTCATCGAAGCACTGTGTGGGGCCAAGCTGGTGTCTGCTCTACAACCAGATGCTGTCACTGCTCACAGGTGGTCTCTCCCACGGCATGTGTCTTCCAGTGTGGATGCTTGGCCTTGGAGCTCACACGCAGAGGGCCCCGGCGTCTTAGAATCTTTTTGAGCCGCTGTGCAGGTACAAGCACAGCCCTGGTCACCATGGTACAGCTGCTGGAAAAGCAAAGCTGTGAGCATCACTGTAACCCTGCAGCACCAACATCCACTGCCCCTGCCCTGCAGCCTGGTTGTGGCACAGCAGAGTAGGGGCCAACACTTGCACTACTGCTTTCCTGCCCCACCCAGGCCCTGGCCTCTTGACCTCCCCACTTACCTGTGCTGTGACCCCTTGCCTGGGCTGCAGGCAGCAGGCAGCTCCAGCACAAAGCAGTCCATGGTGATGCGGTCATCCAGGACAGCCAACTCCGTGTCACTGCAGTCCCTTGCCCTGTGGAGGCACCGTGCCAGTCTGCAGGCACAGGAGGCCACGTGTCACCAGGTGCTGGCCAGGGCAGGCATCCCACCTCCTCTGTATGCACAGTGCCCTTTTCCTCCCGGACTCACACCTGCGCGTGCAGTTGCAGTGGAAGAGTGTCCGGCTGTCCACGTTGTGCAGCTGGTACCTCACCTCATGGGGAGCAATCTGGTGCTCACACTTACCCAGGTGCTTGTTGCACCTGCACCCCCTGCCCGGGCCTGAGGAGAGTGGGGAGGTAATGGACACCCCCAGCGCATGACCCCCCCAGCCTGAGGCCTTGGGCCACCCCAGCTGTGGTGTGCACACGCTGCCCACAGTACCGGCTCACCCTGCTGCCTGCGCCCCTTCACTGCCGGCATGGGGGTGGCTCCACACTGTGCTGTGGCTGGGCTGGGTCCAAGGCTGCCATACCGAGGACGTGCTGAGATTCCAGCTCCTTGCTCTGCTCCAACCAAATCCCGTCCTGACACTGTCGATGCTGTTGTATGGCCAGGCTCTAGCCCCCACTGCACTGCTGGGTGCCTGGTTGTGAGCTCAGCCTTGTCCCTGGCCGAGGCAGGGGTACCTGGGACCTGTAGCTGCTGGGCTGTCTTAGGTCTCCGTGCCTGGCGGCGCCCAGACTTTACCCTCAGTTCCTGTCGAAACCGCTTACGCCCTGTTCTAGAGAAATTCCTTCCCTTGCCCGGGGGCTGCACAGTGGGGCTGCCTCTCTCCTCCGATGGTAGGCTGGGGTGGTACTGATTCTGCTGCACCATCCTGGCCAGAGGCACTACTCCATAACGCTCACACCTGGGGACACCACATACTGTGAGGTCCTGCACACCAACCCAGCCAGTGCCCGAGGAGGCAGCCGGGCAGGAAACGCTGAGGGCCGGGGCACCCCCAGGAGCTCACCCGCCCCACCAGTGCCACTGGATGCACTCCTCGCTCTCTTCCAGCACAAAGCACGGCACCTCCAACAGGTTGAAGAATGTGACGCCGATGATGTTGGAGACGGTGTCGTTGATGGAGAGCAGGCACCGCCGGAACCTGCGGGCAGGGGACCGGTGAGGAGGGCGGGCTCCCCAAGCCCCCCGTTTCCTCACGCCCCGGGCTCACCTGGCGTCGCAGTCGCAGTGGGACACGGTGTGCAGGCGATAGTTGCGGATACCGTAGTTGAACTGCAGCGCCGTGATCTGCGCCCAGCACTGGTCGTGCTCCCGACAGCACCGGTCGGGGCCGCGGAAGAGTCCTGCGGAGGCGCCGATGAGCGCGGCCCCGCGGAGGGAGACCGGGTGCTCCCGCCGCCCCCCGCCGCTCCGTACCCAGCTCGCTCCAGTTCCCCGCCGAGTTCCCCGCGCCGCACCATAGCGTTCCTGGCAGCGTCCAGCCCCGGCGGCGGCGGCGGCGTTGCGGTCCCGGCGGCACGGGGTCGGTGCAGGCGGCACGACGCCGCCACAGCGCGGACAGGGCCCGGCGCAGCGCGGCTCCGGGCGCGGCAGGCGGGCGATGCTCGCAGGCGGCACGGAAGGCGCGGGCGAGGCGCGGATCGCGGCGGACCCAGCAGGCGCGGAGGCGGCCGGGGGCAGCCCAGACGCTCTCGACCAGCGCGGGTCCGGTGGCGGTGCCGGCGCTCAGGAACGCCACGTACCGCGCGCCGCCCGCGCCCGCCGCCTCCCGCGCGCACACAGCGCCGCCGAGCCAGGCGCGCGCGCACGCGCAGAGCGCCGCACAGGCCAGAACCGCGCGCACCCACATCCCGCGCACCGCCCCGCCCCCCCACCGCGCCCGGCTTTAACCCCGCGCCCGACGGCGAGCACAGCGCTGATTGGCCTGCGCTGCGCAGGCCCCGCCCCGCCGGCCCCGCCCCGCCCGGGGGTAGAGCGGCGGGATGCAGCCGGGGTCCCCAGCCCTGGCTCAGCATCCCGGGTACCACCCCCCTCTAGGGCACCCGCCATTTCCGGGCACCCCCCCATCCCGGGCACCCCCTGCTACACGCACCCCACCCCACGCGCTCTCTCCCTGGGCACTCACGAGTGTGCTCTCACGGGCACGACTCTGGATGCAGGTGTGTGTGCAGGTGTGCACAGGTGCCTGCACACTCGCTTTGAGCACACGTATGTGAGTGTATGCCCCTGTGCCGTGCGTGCCCATGTGTGTGTCCCGCACAGGCTGTAGCCATGTCTCTGCTCAAGTGTCCACTGTGTGCAGTCAGGACACTGAGCACTGTCCTGTCCAGCCCCTGCAGAAGCTGCCCATGGCCCAGAATGAGACCTGTCTGAGAGCTGAGGATCCCTGAGGATGGAGCCACCACACCCCCCAGGGCAACTCTTCCTGTAACCTGTACTGAGGCCTGACACTCAGTACAATGGTGTTTCTTGATATTCAAAGGAACCTGCCACGTCCCAGTTTGTGCTTATTGCATTTTGTTCCAGTACTGGACATCACTGGGAAGAGATGAGCTCTCATCTCCTTGCACCCTCCCTGCCTGTGTATTAGTAGGATCCCTCAAAATTCCTCTGCTCCAGCCTCAGCAGACCCTGCTCCTGCAGCCACCCCACAGAGTACAGGTGCTCCAGTCACTCCACCACCATCACGGCACTTTGCTGGACTCACCCCAGCATGTCTGTGCCTTGCCCAGGTAATCCCAGCTGGAGCAGCACAGGCTCCCCACTGGCACTCCCTGCCCAGCTTTGCCTGGTGCCATGAGGACACATCCCTGGCTTCTGCCAAGCTGGTGCCCAGCAGCATCCCAAGGATCCCTGCAGAGCTGCTTTCCAGCTGGTGGCACAACTTATGCTGGTACAATATCCCCCTGGGAATCAGGATCTCTCTACCCTGGCAGTACTTTGGGAGGGTAGCTGGGCTGTGGGGCAGAGCTTACCCCTCCACCTATCCCAGAGCCCCAGTGCCCCAGGGAAACGTTGTTTAGGGTGGCCAGTGTGTCTGGGAATCTTGCTGCATCCCAAAAGGATGCTGGCCCTGCTCTGGAGAACTGGCCCACTTAAGTCCACATGCACCTCTCTGCGGGAAGGGAAGTTCTGGGAAGGAAGGCAGGAAGGCAGGAAGGAAGGAAGGAAGGTTGGTTCCTCTGGTGAGTTTTTTTCTTCCAGGGCTAATCTGGAGTCATGTCTGTGTTCTGGGGGGGGGGGGGGGGGGGAGGTGGTCTGTGGATCCCCGTGTGCCCTAACCCTAACTGGGAGACACTGGGGCCTGATGGATGGTGCTTGGCAGTGTAAGCTTATCTCGCCTTATCAGGATTTCCCTGACAGCAATGCACTGCAGACAGGGCAGAGTCCACCCCATGGCTGTGACAGGGCTGCCGTGTGCCACCCATGACATCACCCCATATGCCACAAAGGTCTCCCCTGTCCTGGGAGCTGTGTTAATGAAGCTGGTTGAGGGCTGGCAGGACTGGCATGCCAAGGCTGGGGAAGGGCTCTGCTTGGGGCTACCCCAGATGTGGGAGAACCAGCTTTCCACCCATAGGGATCCACAGAGCCCTCCCTGACATGGGCTCTGCCACACTGTGCTGTGTTCATGTCCCAGCGCCCCTGGGGCTGCTCTGTGCATGCTTTGTCCCCGCTCATGCCCAGCACCCTGGGGCTGCCCTGTGCCTGGGCTGTGTTGGCAGGCCTGTGGGGCCCCACAGGGAGGGATCCACGGGGCAGCACAGGACAGCCTTGGCTGACAAGTGAATGACTGTATGAGAGACAGAAAACCCAGTTTGGGTTTATCTGGAAGATAACAGGGGATAAGGAGGGATGCCTAACGCTCTGGCCTTCACTGCCTAAGCAGCTAGTGGGTTACAGGGCTGGCCCTGCAGCAGATCTCCCCACTGTGTAATCATGCAGCTACTGCCCTGCTGCCAGCTGCTGGCACAAGGCTGGTGTCTGGCTGGACAGTGAGGACGTGGGGCTGAGCCCTGGGCTACCCAACTCAACAGGCAGCACTGTCAGTCCTGCACCCAGCTC